AAGACGACAGTAAGGATGACAGAATAAGATGACTATTAGGACGACAGTAAAGATGATAGTTAGGACGACAGAACAAGATGACTGTAAAGACGACAGTAAGGATGACAGAATAAGATGACAGTTAGGACAACAGAACAAGACGACAGTAAGGATGACAGAATAAGATGACTATTAGGACGACAGTAAAGATGATAGTTAGGACGACAGAACAAGATGACTGTAAAGACGACAGTAAAGGACAACAGTAATTAAACGACAGAGAAAAAGCAAGCAGGATGACAGATTAAGATGACGTCAACAGACAATTGTTAGGACTACAGAACAAGACGACAGTAAGGATGACAGAATAAGATGACAGTTAGGACGACAGAATAAGATGACAGTTAGGATGACAGAACAAGATGACAGTTAGGACGACAGAATAAGATGACAGTTAGGATGACAGAACAAGATGACAGTTAGGACGACAGAATAAGATGACAGTTAGGATGACAGAACAAGATGACAGTTAGGACGACAGAATAAGATGACAGTTAGGATGACAGAACAAGATGACAGTTAGGACGACAGAATAAGATGACAGTTAGGATGACAGAACAAGATGACAGTTAGGACGACAGAATAAGATGACAGTTAGGATGACAGAACAAGATGACAGTTAGGACGACAGAATAAGATGACAGTTAGGATGACAGAACAAGATGACAGTTAGGACGACAGAACAAGATGACAGAACAAAACGACAATAAGCACAAAGCAGTCGACTCATTTTTGACACAAATGGAACCTCATACCAGAGCAGTCTGTGTTATTTCTGGGATGCATTAACTTCAAGGTAAATTCTGGGTAAATGTGAAACCTTATCAAAACATGTCACTTTCACATAGATGCCAGCAGAAACATTACAATAATCCTTTTTCCCCCCAGCTCTACCGGTCTACCAGTTGTAACGTGAGCAGTTGTTCCTATGTGTCCAGACTAGACTTCAGTCTTGCAATTTTGTGTGTGTATCTGTGTACATAGAGATTATGTATTTATAAAACTGCAAATGTATTTATTTATGTATTTGTATGTATTTATTTATTGTACTCGAGTGCACGTTTAAATTGATTAATAGGTTCAGTTGATTCACAGGTTGTGTACATTTCTTTGGCGCTTGATAATGGGAATAAAAACCTTGCAATGCTGAAACAATACATCTTTTCATATATTTTGAATGCTGAAAGTTTTTTGTTTACAAAAACAGCTGTTATTAAATCTGATCTACAGCAAATATCATTATTGTGCTTAAGTTTGTATTTAAGCAATAAATGTTCATATCTTCTGCTGTATATTTTTATTTATACTTTTACTAATTTAAAAAGAAAATAGAACTCTATTTACTGAATACCCCTTTTAGATTTTTAGTAGTTATAGTCATTACGTAATAAATAAAAATATTAATCACAGTGAAGGTCTCTTTTCTTCAAATCTGCAAGTCCTCACGATGTAGGCTACTGCACAGATTTACAGCTCCAAGTGATTTTATATTTGATAGTTTTGCAGCTAGGCCTATGTGGCTACAATGAGTGTTAATAATTGAAACTAATTTCATCCCGTATATACACAGATTAGAACACACACACACACACACACACACACACACACACACACACACACACACACACACACACAATGAGGGGGTGGATACATAAATAATTGGATTAATGATTTCAGGATAATGCATGATGTCACGTGGATACTTATTTAATAAAATAGGAACCTTTAAAAATTATAACAGAAACCATATGTAGGCCTAAATATTTTATTAAGAGGTAAACAAGGAAACATAAGTTTGCCATGAAAACATTTTATTAGCACTTTGTACCAAGTAGCCTAATGCATGTGAAGCATTGGGCAACGAAACAACTCATCTTCTATAACAAAAAAAAACCAAAAAAACAGTTGTGCTTTAAAATGTAAAATCAGCCACTTATGTTCATGTTTGTCCATTACTGAAATACAGCGAATTATTATCACTTGCGTATAAAATCCCAAATTTGTGCTGATCCGCCGACCCTGATGGAAATATGAATGAAGAAGCCAATGAATTAAGCGCTAATGTACAGTAAAACAGCTCTATTCAGCCTGAAGAACCCGGAGGTGCCGTCACCAAGCGTTAACCAAGAGAATGTGACAGGGACATGAATTTACATTTGATAAAAAAAAAAAAAAAAAAAAATTAGGACTTTGCCTCCTCATTTCAGAACATCACTGCTTTGAATATAGTGTTCAGACAGTCAAAGAGTGGGGACCCTGGGATACCTAGCTACTACACGTGATGTACATGTGTATGATAACAATAAAGCTTAATTAACACAGCATTAGATGAAAGCATAAATATGCTAGCATCGGATTCTTTATTGTACATTAGCTGAGCAACATGCTGACAATTCAGTTCTGTGTTATCTTTTATTTTAAAACTCTATTAAAGAGTAATTAAAATTAATATATGAACATTTACATCCCAGTAGGTTAGGATACATTCTTAAACTCATGAAATCCATGAGTTCCTTGTGGATTCATTATGGCAGTGATTATGGGATTAAGGAGGATATTGCTGATGTCTGATGAAATTATGGCTAACATTGTCCAGAGGTCCAGATCTATTAGAGACGTGATTTAGAGTGTGCTCGCAGGCCTTTCTGCTCCAGGATCTGACCAAAGAGACGAGCAGCTGGATGGTCAGTCCAAAACCTCCATGTCCGTAGTTATGAATGACCTGAGGTGAAAGAAAACAGCATGGTGTCTGAAAAAAGGCAAAGTTAAGGAAATGAAATACTGCTCTCTTTACAATGAGCTCACCTCAAACGAGGTTGGTCCAGACCACATGGTCTGTCTCCAGTCTAATTTTGCTCCGTGTGGGTCTGAGACCAGTCCAGTCCTCTACTATCTGCGCATGCTAAAGAGAAAGAAAACGGAGCAAAACTGGGAATTTGGAAAATCACTCCTTAACAGATTTTGACAACATGCGATCTCCTACCTATAGACTGGGCTCAAGCTACCCAGATGTTTTATGGTCCACAGAACTGTTCTGCAGATTCCAGTTTCCTACTTGGAAAACTCCACCCACAGTCACTAAACGACTCCTGCAGACACAAACTGAGGTCATGTGCATCTGTCCTGGGACAAGACTACATTTTCCATTTTATAATAAACACAACTTAAAATGGGAACCAACACAGCTTATTTCCCTATATCTCTAAATGTATTTTTTTCTTTTCTTACAAATATACATTGACTGTGATGAAAAATAAATTCACCCGGGTATGATGTATGCTGAATTACCTCTAGATGAGAAATTATGTGTGGAGATTCAGTGTTTTATCCAGGGAGCGTCTACCTGTTTACATACAGCACAGAATCAGAGATGAAACTGTTCTGTCTAAAGCTCAAACCCCGATTGACTTTATCCATTAAACCTCATCTTAATGATCTGTCCTCTGGCTGGCTGGAGCTCAGGATCAGGCTGGAGGTCTCCTGATCGTTCACTGGAGCAGTTGA